CTGGGACCACACTCTCAACAGTGACTCCCTCAGCCCTGGGAATAGAACCCAGCTCCATACCACGCGGAAAGCCAGGGCACTCATTCCTTCCCTCCATTCCCCTTTGTTTCCATGCAGACACCTGGAATCCATCCATCCATCCATCCATCCATCCATCCACTTATCCATCCATCTGTCTGCCTATCCCCCATCCATCCCCCATCCATCCACTTATCTGTCAGCCCATCCCCCCTCCATCCATCCATCCACTTATCCATCCAACTGTCTGCCTATCCCCCATCCATCCCCCATCCATCCACTTATCTATCAGCCCATCCCCCCTCCATCCATCCATCCATCCATCCACCCCAAATCTCCCTGTGCTGGAATTACAGGGGTGAGCACCTGTGCCCAGCCAGTCCTATAACTATTAAAAATTGAGCAGTAATTAAAAATCTTTCCTAAAGAAAACAGATGGCCTTATAAGTGACTTTTATCAGACTTTCAAGGAACAGATCATCCCATTCTTATATAAACAGGACAAAGACAGGGAGGGTGCTGCCTACACAGGATGAGACAAAGCCTGAGTCCAACGCCAGTGAAAACATCACAGAATGGAAAACCGCCAGTCCACTCAAGTGTGCACCAAACTCTGAAGCAAGCGTTTGCAGGTCAAATTCAACAACAGCGTGTATAAGACACGCAAGACACTGGGCCAAGTTAGGTTTTTCTATGACAAGAGGATGATTTGATGTTACAAAATAAAGATGTGAATATGGAAACCTTAATGAAAAACAATTATAGGATCACGTCAAGGGATCCAGAAGAAACACTGACAAGCACATTCACAATAAAACTGCATTGAGGGGACCTCGCGGTGGAGGTGAGCGCCATTCCAGATGGGGAAGGGAAAAAGCACTCTGTTTAGAAGGGGTGGTGGGGAGTGGCCGGTTTCGCCCTGAGCTGGGGCAGTGCTAGGCGTCACATGGCTTCCGTTCCAAGACTCATTGCTGTTCCTTGCTGCACACGGTAAGAGAAGGAAGGGACACCTGTGGCAGGACCATCGGCTAGGAGGAGCTAACACTTGTGTCTTTATCAGTGATTGACCAGCTAGATAGGAAAACTAAAAGAATCCGTAAGTGATTAGAAATATAAAGAAACTTTAGCAAGATGGCTGGATATAAAATAAAGATATTACAGTGAATTGTGGCCAGGCACAATCACTCATGCCTGTAATCCCAGCACTTTGGGAGGCCAAGAAAATCGCATGCACCCAGGAGTTCAAGACCAGCCTGGGCAACATAGCAAGACACTGTCTCTACAAAAATAAAAATAAATAAATTAGCTGGGCATGGTGGCGTGTGCCTATAGTCTCAGCTACTTGGGAAGCTGAGGTGGGAGGACTGCCTGAGCTCAGAAATTTTAGGCTGAAGTGAGCTCTGATGTTGCCACTACGCTCCAGCCTGGGCAACAGAGTGAGACCCCATGTCTACAGAAATTTAAAAAAATCAGCTGGACACGGTGGTGCACGCTTGTAGCCCCACCTACTTGGGAGGCTGAGGTGGGAGGATCACTTGACCCCAGGAGGTCGAGGCTGCAGTGAGCGGTGACGGCACCAATGCACTCCAGGCTGACGACAGAGTCAGACCCTGCCTCAAAACCAAAACAAAACACAAGGAGGGCAATCCATTTTAAACCAGAATCAGAAAACATGACATTCCTGAGGATAAATGTAATCAACGATACCTAAGAGCCCTGCAGCAAAACTTTAGAATGTTAAACCAACTTCAGGTGGATCAAATGTGAAGAGCAAAACAAAACTCTTGGCAGAAAATATCGGTGACTATTGGCTCAACCCTGAAATGGGGAAGGCTTCTCGCGAAGGTTAGACCTTAACAGTAGAAGCAGCATGAATGCATCTGATTATATGACAGCTGAGAAACTATTTTTCAGCAGAGGACACTGTCAGCCACCTTTTCTCTGTGGGGCTCAAGAGGTTAAACTCTTTCCGTAACGATTCCGAGGCATCGGCCTGGCTCACTCTCATCCCCTCACAAGCGGACAGTGGAGTTAGGGTTAGGGCTGGCGTTAGGGTTGGGCTTGGGCTTGGGGTTGGGGTTAGGGGCCACGTGACGTGACATCAGAGCTGACTGAATGCAGAAGCTGCCACGAAAATCTAGGCGTTTTCCACAATCCAGACATGAAAGATTTGCAAATATGCAACACAATGCCACCCATCCCACTAATTCTGGAGGGAAAACATGCTCTATAAAAATGTTACATATGTTAACATGCAATGGGTATTGTGATTTTTAAATGAATTAATAGACAACTTACAAATGTCTCAGTTTTAGTTTATGACACCATAAATATGAAGAGACAGAACTCACACAAGCAAAAGCTCTTAGGGGCACTCAATAATTTTTAGGGTTATAAATGTCCTGGAGCCAGCAAGTCTGAGAACTGCCATCCTAAGACAAATAGACAAATTACACACTGGAGGTGGCATCCGCAGTCCTGGCAAAGGGGCGGGAATTCCTACAAGAATGGAGACCCTTCACTGGAGAGGCACTCCTCACCACATCCCTGTGGGCAGGGAGGAGACACAGCGCCACGCCATCCCTAGAGAGACCCCAGGCCCCTGCCTCACCCGTGTCCTGTGGGGGCCAGACCGCAGACCAGACCTCAGACCCCAGGCCCCTGCCTCACCTGCATCCTGCGGGAGCCAGACCCCAGGGCGGACCCCAGGCCCCTGCCTCACCCATGTCCTGCGGGGGCCAGCCATCCTCGCACCATGCTCTGGGGTGTGCCAAGAACGGGGAGTTCCGGGAACAGATGCACGTCCACCTGCCCCAATCACGAGCCCCACTTCCTCCTGGGCACACGGCCCAGAGAAACCTCATCTAGATCTGTTCTCGGCTACACACCAGGAAACACCTGCCTACCCCTCGGTGCCCCCAGAGGCGGGGATTTAAATGCGACGCTTCGCCGGACGGGATAACACGCAGCAGGTGCCGTTACGGCCACACGGCACTACACAGATGAAGCTCAGCAAGAAACGTACGAAAGGAAGTCCCAGATCGCGTGCAGCGGGGGCTCTTTTCAGAAAGTTAAAAACAGCACAGATGAAACCGTGGGGCTTTTAGGAAACGCAACTCGGATAAAATCAGAGGAATGCAGGAGGCAGGGCACGGGCTGCACTGAGGTCACCTGCAGGGTCTGAGCTGGACATGACGTGACTGGGGACGCAAGCACAACATGAAAGCCTCCTCACAGGGACAACAGGCACCAGGCCACCGGCAGCAAGGACTTGGGTTCTGGACACTGGGGTGCAATGAAACACAGGACCCCGCAGCAGAGGCCCCTGGGGGCTCCCGGCCCCACTCTCAGGCAAAGGGCTTCAGCCTCACTTGTTTCAAAGTGAAAGTAAGCTGAGCTCCAGGGAAGTGGGGTACAGGGAAAGCGGGAATGGTGGGGGGAAGCAGGGTGCAGGGAAAGTGGGGTGGTGGGGGAAGCAGGGTGCAGGGGAAGCGGGATGGTGGTGGGGAAGTGGGGTACAGGGAAAGCAGGGTGGTGGGGGGAAGCAGGGTGCAGGGAAAGCGGGGTGGTGGGGGAAGCAGGGTGCAGACAAAGCAGGGTGGTGGGGGAAGCAGGGTGCAGGGGAAGCGGGGTGGTGGGGGGAAGAGGGGTACAGAGAAAGCAGGGTGGTGGGGTAAGCAGGGTGCAGGGAAAGCGGGGTGGTGGGGAAGTGGGGTACAGGGGAAGTCGGGTGGTGGTGGAGAAATGGGGTACAGGGGAAGCGGGGTGGTGGGGGGAAGCAGGGTGCAGGGGAAGTGGGATGGTGGTGGGGAAGTGGGGTGCAGGGGAAGTCGCGTGGTGGTGGAGAAATGGGGTACAGGGGAAGCGGGGTGGTGGTGGGGAAGTGGGGTACAGGGAAAGTGGGGTGGTGGGGGGAAGCAGGGTGCAGGGGAAGCAGGGCAGTGGTGGAGAAGTATGATTCAGGTGAAGCAGGCTGGTAGTGGGGAAGTGGGGTGCAGGGGAAGCAGGGCGGTGATGGAGAAGCAGGGTATAGGAAAAGAGGGGTGGTTGTGGGGAAGTGGGGTGCAGGGAAATGGGGTGGTGGTGGGGAAATGGGGTAAAAGGAAAGAAGGGTGGTGGGGAGAAGTGGGGTGAGGGGGAAGCAGGCTGGTGGTGGGGAAGTGGGGTACAGGGAAAGTGGGGTACAGGGAAAGCGGGGTGGTGGTGGGGAAGTGGGGTGCAGGGAAATGGGGTGGTGGTGGGGAAGTGGGGTATAAGGAAAGAAGGGTGGTGGGGAGAAGTGGGGTGAGGGGGAAGCAGACTGGTGGTGGGGAAGTGGGGTACAGGGAAAGTGGGGTGGTGGTGGGGAAGCAGGGTGCAGGGGAAGCGGGGTGGTAGTGGGGAAGTGGGGTGCAGGGAAGTGGGTTGGTGGGGGGAAGCGGGGTACAGGGAAGTGGGGCCGTGGGGGGGAAGCAGGGTGCAGGAGAAGTGGGGTGGTGGAGGGAGCAGGGTGGTGAGGGCATCAGTGGGGGGAGCGGGGCGGTGGGGGGAGGGGTGCAGCGGGGGGGATCAGGGGCAGCGGGGAACGATCACACGACAAGGTCTTGCTGTGTTGGCCAGGCTGGAGTGCAGTGGTGCAATTTTGGGTGACTGCAGCTTTGACCTCCTGGGTTCAAGAGATTCTCTGGCCTCAGACTCCCGAGGAGCTGGGACCACAGGTGTGAGCCACTGCTTCCAGCAAAGTTTTGTATTTTTAGTAGAGATAGGGTTTTGCCATGTTGACCAGGCTGGTCTCAAACTCCTGGGCTCAAGCAGTCTGCCCGCCTCGGCCTCCCAGAGTGCCGGGATTACAGGAGTGAGCCACCACGCCCAACCCCCAAACACTTATTTCAAGGTTAAATTTTAAGGTCATGACACTAGGGCGCTGTGCCCAGCCAGAGGCCACTGCAGAGGTCGCCTTAGAAGTAAGGGGGGCCTGGCGCGTCACCCCCACCAGCACTTACCTCAAAGGTGTTTCCAGTGACGTCAAACTCCGGGGGAACAAATGCACCCTCAGGGTCGTCTTGGGGAGGAGAGAGACAGGCTTCTGGTCACACCTGAGAACTGAACCCACCAGCCAGGAAGGGCCTGGAGGGGAGCGGCCTTAGGTCCCCTCCCCGCAGACCTGGCTCCCCAGCCGTTTTAGGCGGTGAGAAAGGGAAATCTGCTCCTTGGCGGTTATGGTGGGAAAGGGGTTTCACTGCAGAAGAGGGAAGGGAGGGTTCTGCTGCTTTCCCGAGCAGGAAGCTGAAGACATTCACCAGGGAAATTCAGCTCCCAGGCAGCGGCCACGCAAGGGAGCCCGCTGGCCCACCTGAGGCAGGGGCCTGTGTCCACTAACAGCAGGGCCAGCAGACGGGCCCAGGGTGGACAGAAGGGGTGCAGCCTGCCATCAGGAGAAGCCTGAGGGGAGCGGTCAGGGTGGGCCGAGCCCCCGTCTGGTGTTGGAGGGCACAGCCTGGCAGAGCAGGCACCCCCACGGGCCCCGGGGCACTCTCCAGCCTGAGTCCCTCCCGAGGAAGAGCAGGTCTCCACAGGAAACTGAGCCCGGACAACTCCCAGTGTCACATGCACCCTGAAAGGCGCCTCCGCCCACGGTCCTGCCGCCTCCTCACCGCTGAGCTGCTCCATGAAGCACACGTTCCCGCTGGTGTTGAAGGCCAGGGTGTCCGGTGTGATGCACAGGCTCTGGAAGATGGCAGCATGTGCCACGCTCTGCATGGCCAGGCCGCACTCCCGGCACACAGCCCAGGCCTCCTGCTCGCTGAGGCCGCGGTCCCGCAGGGAGAGGATGTCCGCCAGAGACACGTTCTCCTGCCAAGACAGGCCTGACCATGAGCCGGGCAGGACCCCCAGCCGGCCCTGGCACCCCCACTGAGATGATGCCCTGGGAGAGGGACGGCTCGTGGCAGCGTTTTCAATGCGTGGGTCAGGGAGAGGGCTTCAGGCCATGTCTCATTTTGTTTCAAAAGTTGTCCTGCTGTTCCCTGGTCATCAGAGACACAGAACATTTGGTGGCACATCAGCGAGCCTGGGCACGGGGTCTTCCTCCCGGAGGCTCGGCCGGAGCTGCTGGGTCACCTGCTCCCTGGGGTACCCTGACCCCCCCCCAGGCTCACGGCTGGACTGGCCCATGGAGGCCACCAACAGATGAGTGACATGATGAAGTCAACTCCCCTAACCCTGCACTTGTGTGGGGCTAATGGGCTGTGCTCCTGACACACCCACGCAACACAACCACAGGCACCTGCCCCTGACACATTCGTGACACGCAACCACGCACCTGCCCCATACACTCATGTGATGCAACCACATGCATCTGCCCCTGACACACTCATTTGACACAACCACAGACCTGCCCGACACACTCGTGACATGCAACCACATGCACCTGCCCCGACACACTCACACAACATACAACCACATGCAGCAGCCCTGACACACTCATGTGACATGCAACCACACGCACCTGCCCTGACATACTCATGCGATGCAACCACATGCACCTGCTCCTGACACTCACACAACACAACCACACCCTCTGCTGACATTTGCTCCAGGTGGCTCACACGGGGGACGCAGTCATGGCGATTCCCTTCACGTGGCCTGGCTGCCCCCATGTGGGCTCACCTCCAAATGTGAGTGGGCTCCCAGACTGTGTGAGGGCTCAGCTGTGATGATGGCTGCCACCAACACCCAACCCTATGGACATGTGCATGCACACACTCACCTAGCACACATTGTGTGCTCACCCTCACACAGACACAGGCATCCCCATACATGCATCCCACACAGACACATGCCACACAGGTGCACTTATATATTAACAGGCATCACTGGTGCCCAGGCGTGCCACACACACAGTTCCATCCACTTCACAAGCACACACACTCATGCAGTGAGAACAGACATCCTCATGCACATGCACATACCTCACACTCACACACACATACATACTACATCCAACCGCACACATGCCTAATGCTGACCACATGCACACACTCATGCAGTGAGAAGACATCCTCATGCACATGCACATACCTCACACTCACACACACTCACACACATACACACTACATCCAACCGCACACATGCCTAATGCTGACCACATGCACACACACTCATGCAGTGAGAACAGACATCCTCATGCACATGCACATACCTCACACTCACACACATACACACTACATCCAACCGCACACATGCCTAATGCTGACCACATGCACACACTCATGCAGTGAGAACAGACATCCTCATGCACATACACATACCTCACACTCACACACACTCACACACACATACACACTACATCCAACCGCACACATGCCTAATGCTGACCACATGCACACACTCATGCAGTGAGAACAGACATCCTCATGCACATGCATATACCTCACACACACACATACACACTCACATACACTACATCCAAACGCACACATGCTTAATGCTGACCACACACACACACTCATGCAAGAACAGACATCCTCATGCACATGCACATACCTCACACTCACACACATACACACTCACATACACTACATCCAAACGCACACATGCCTAATGCTGACCACACACACACACACTCATGCAGTGAGAACAGACATCCTCATGCACATGCACATACCTCACACTCACACTCACACACACATACACACTACATCCAACCGCACACATGCCTAATGCTGACCACATGCACACACACTCATGCAGTGAGAACAGACATCCTCATGCACATGCACATACCTCACACTCACACACACTCACACACACATACATACTACATCCAACCGCACACATGCCTAATGCTGACCACATGCACACACACTCATGCAGTGAGAACAGACATCCTCATGCACATGCACATACCTCACACTCACACACACTCACACACACACACTACAACCGCACACATGCCTAATGCTGACCACATGCACACACACTCATGCAGTGAGAACAGACATCCTCATGCACATGCACATACCTCACACTCACACACACTCACACACACATACACACTACATCCAACCGCACACATGCCTAATGCTGACCACATGCACACACTCATGCAGTGAGAACAGACATCCTCATGCACATGCACATACCTCACACTCACACACACATACACACTACATCCAACCGCACACATGCCTAATGCTGACCACATGCACACACACTCATGCAGTGAGAACAGACATCCTCATGCACATGCACATACCTCACACTCACACTACATCCAACCGCACACATGCCTAATGCTGACCACAAGCACACACACTCATGCAGTGAGAACAGACATCCTCATGCACATGCACATACCTCACACACACACACACTACATCCAACTGCACACATGCCTAATGCTGACCACATGCACACACACTCATGCAGTGAGAACAGACATCCTCATGCACATACACATACCTCACACTCACACACACTCACACACACATACACACTACATCCAACCGCACACATGCCTAATGCTGACCACATGCACACACACTCATGCAGTGAGAACAGACATCCTCATGCACATGCACATACCTCACACACACACTACATCCAACCGCACACATGCCTAATGCTGACCACAAGCACACACACTCATGCAGTGAGAACAGACATCCTCATGCACATGCACATACCTCACACACACACACTACATCCAACTGCACACATGCCTAATGCTGACCACATGCACACACACTCATGCAGTGAGAACAGACATCCTCATGCACATGCACATACCTCACACACACACACACTACATCCAACTGCACACATGCCTAATGCTGACCACACGCACACACACTCATGCAGTGAGAACAGACATCCTCATGCACATGCACATGCCTCACACACACACATACTACAACCGCACACATGCCTAACACTAACCACACCCATGCACGCTCAGACACATTACATGTGCCCACACAATCAATCACACACACCTAACGGTGACCACAGGCACAGACGCTCAGACACATATGTACGACTGCACACACATCAACCACATACACGCCTAATGCTGACCACACGCACACACGCTCATGCGCATACATACGCCTGCACACACATACATACACACACACCCATTCCTATACCTGGTACACACACCCTCACAGGAACACACAGGACTGAACAGCCGCACTTGTATGAACGCCAGATATGGACTGAAGGCCCTCTTGGGGGTGCTGCTCCCCACCTGGGGGACCCGTGTGCAGGAGCGTCTGCTCCACCCCGTGGATAGGAGGGGGTGGCTGGGCACTGCGCCCTGGATGCATGTGGGTGGGGGTCAGGCCTCAGAGGACCGGGCAGGTGAGGAAGAGGCAGAGGCCCCTTCTCCCCCAGCCCTAACTCCCCCTCATGCAGGGCAGCTCTGGCCCTACAGGTGCCACGGGGCTGATGTCCTGAGAGGCACTTCCCACCTCCAGTCCCCTCACCCTGCCCCAGTGGTTGGCACTGCAGGAGGCCCCCAGGCACAGGAGAGGGATGAAGGGCTCCAGCCAAAGCAGGAGGCCAAGAAACAGAATCGGGGCACTGGTGCCCGGTGGGGCCTGGCCACAGGGCTGGGTCTGCCTCTGTCCCTGGGGTCCTGGCATGTCCCCCATCTGTCTCTCCTTGCGGGGGGGGGTCCATGGAGGGGCTTGATGACTTCAGTTTCCAGGCCCTTCCAGCTCCTTCCATGGCGGGACTCTCCCTGCCCTGTTCCTGGGTTCCTGATTGATCTAAGGTGTTTCTGATTTGGGCTGAAGCCTGCTGCCCTCTCTGCACCTTGAAGGGCTCCTCAGGACTTGAGAGAGCCTGAAACTTCCAGCAATGCCTGTGAGGCTGTTAAAGAGGCGCCTGGGCACTGTGTATATAGAAACGCACCCACACACGTGCACATACCCGTGCACCTGCACACACAGGGATACGCTGCAACACGAATGCACACGTGCACCCACATACACACACGTGCACCCACATACACACACGTGCACCCACATACACACACGTGCACCCACATACACACACGTGTACCTGCACACGTGCACCCACCTACACACACGTGCACCCACATACACACACGTGCACCCACATACACACGTGCACCCACATACACACACGTGCACCCACATACACACGTGCACCCACATACACACACGTGCACCCACATACACACATGTGTACCTGCACACGTGCACCCACCTACACACGTGCACCCACATACACACACGTGCACCCACATACACACACGTGCACCCACATACACACACGTGCACCCACATACATACACGTGCACCCACATACACACACGTGCACCCACATACACACACGTGTACCTGCACACGTGCACCCACATACACACACGTGCACCCACATACACACGTGTACCCACATACACACACGTGCACCCACATACATACACGTGCACCCACATACACACATGTGCACCTGCACATGTATACCCACACACACACATGTGCCCATACACACACGTGCACCCACACAGGCACACTGCACACATACATGCACACCCAGGCATACACTGCGTGCATACATGCACACCCGTGCACACACACAGGCATGCACTGCACACACACACCCGTGCACCCACATGGGCACACACAGCAACACACGCATGCACTGCATGCATACATGAACACCTGTGCACCCACACAGGCACACATTGCACACATACATGCACACCCATGCACACAGGCACACACTGTACACCCATGCACACACAGGCATGTACTACACATACACACACCCATGCGCACACACAGGCATGCACTGCACATACACGCACACCCATGCACACACAGGCACACTGCACACATACATGCACACCCAGGCATACACTGCATGCATACATGCACACCCGTGCACACACACAGGCATGCACTGCACACACACCCGTGCACACACAGGTACACTGCACACATACATGCACACCCAAAGGCACACATTGCACATACATGCACACCCAAAGGTACATATTACACATACATGCACACCCATGCACACACAGGCACACACTGCACACATACTTGCATACCTGTGTACACACACACATGTACACCCACACAGGTACACACTCCTGTGCACTGCCACACACATGCACACAGTACAATGCTCATGCACACACGTGCCTGCAAACGGGCACAGTCGTGCACTGAGTGCTGAATATGTCTGAGGACCCTTTGGAGTGTGCTGCTTAGAGGAAGGGCACCAGTGCGATGCACGTCTGAGCTGGTCCCTGTCCCCCTGTGGGGTCTGGGGGTCCTTCTGGCTGTTGCCCGCAGGTCTGGGGCCTGCCAGCTCACACGGTGGTGTCCAGACATGTGGACTAGGGAAGGGAGTCCAGGTCAGCTGTGCTTGCAGGGCCACCCCTCGCAGACAGCTGGCCCTCCTGCTCAGGCTCGGAGTGGGGACACCTGGCGATGAGGAGCCCCTCCCCCCTCAGGGAAGCCAGACACCAGGAACCCCAGCATCATGCAAGCTGGGAGTGTCTAAATGCCATCAGATTCTCCAGATGGCTTTAGGGGCGAGTGCCAAGGGGCCTGTGGCTGAGGCCTCCCCTCAGGGACGGGGCCGTTTCAGCCCCTCCAGAGCCGGCTGTCCAGAGCGTGGGCTTCCGTTCACACAGGGTCCTGAGCCAGTGGGTTCCCCTGGCCACCTAGGGGTCTCGTCATGTGCTGAGGGCTCCCAGGCCTGAACTCTGGACTCTGTAGCCTCCACCCTGCTCTGGCACAGGTGAGAGGAATGACCCCCCCGCCGCTTGCCCAAATCCACAGTGGTCAGACAAGTGAGGTGCAGGGGTCGGAGGAGTCTAAGAGGCCAGGGCGAGAGATGGAGAGGCACAGGTGGCATTCACCAGCCGAGGGACCCCAGGTCCATGGGCACCCTACCCGCATTCCAGCAGACACCCCCATGTCACCCCCAAGGTCGGGAGCCATCTGGCTGTCCTGTTGTCGCCTCCAGAGGGGGCCTCGGAGACCCCAGGGCTCTCAGCCTCGCTGCCAGTGGGCCAGGAGGCTTCATATTTAAGTGGAATAGGCCCAGCCGGGCTCCGGGGCTGCAGAGTGGCCTCGGCAGCAGTTTAATGGGCTGTGGCAGACACCGGGGAGGGAGGTGACGTGCTGTGAATAGCAACTCAGCCTCGGCGGGCAGATGCCTGTCTGTCTGCCCAGTGCCCCCTCCCGCAGACACCCCAGCAGACACCTGCCCAGCACCCATGAGGGCCCCACGGCAGAAGGGAGCCTTGTGACTTCCCACACATCAGCCTCTCCTGCAGTACAGTCTGACCTTGTTGTGGCTGGCACAGACCCATCTTCTTGGGCAGGGCCAGAGGGTTCTTCATGGCCCAGCCCAGCCCACCGGCCTCCCACCCTGCCCCTCACCATCCCTGGCAAGGCGTGCCTGGGTGGGCCTTGGGGTAGGTCTGAGATCAAGGACCCCCCCCCCAAGACCTGTTTCTTGCAGGGCAGAAAAGAGTGGTCCCCACTTTGCAATTGTGCGGCCATGGACTCCACCTGATCCCAGGTGAGAGGAGGGATTTGGGAAGGCAGGTGGACGTGAACCCCCAGGTCTGGGTAGCAGCACATCAGCCACTCCCTGCACCTCAGAGGAGAGGGCACACTTCCCACCGAAAACCCCTATCTCCCGGCATGTCTCCATGTGGAGCTTCTGTGCATTCAGAAAGCCTCCACCCCCTACCCTGCTCAGGCAGACTTTGAGCCAGGGTTACACAGGGACGCCTGGGTCATTTGGCACATTTCAAATACATTGTCTTGTGACCAATTGATTTTTTTCGGCCACGGGATTCTAACAGGACCAATATGAAACTCCGTTCCCTGCTGGGAGCACTGGCTGCCAGTTCCCGGGCCTGCTGACAGCTCTCTGCACACTGCCAGGCCCCCACCATGAACCCACCTCGGCTCCCGAGGTGCCTTCTGCTCTGAGTTCGCCCTGGCCCAGATGTCACACAGACCCTGCAGTGGGGAGCCCCAGCCTTGCGCTCCCCCAGGCAGCATGTGCATCCAGTCCAGCCTCGGCTGCGGAGCCCCGCCTGACATTGGCACACAGGAGGTTCTGGAGGCACTAGCTGAACTCCGGGAGGGATGACAGTGCCTCTCAGGGACCTGGGACCTGTCCTGTTCTGGCACCCAAACCGGTGCACCCTCTTTGTCTCATCTGAATTCCCAGGAGGTGGCCAGCACTGCCCATCCCTCAAGCCTGGCTGCCCGACCTGTGTGTCTCTTCTGCAGCCACTATTCTGCTGGATTGCAGTGTTTTGCCTCAGATCCCACATCCCCTGTCCACAGTGGCTGAAATCCCATGGGAATCTGGGCAGGACACCTCTTCTAGGAAGCCCTCCTTGCATTGCTCCTACAGAACATCTCTCTGTCTATTGCGTACTGGTGGTTATTGCTTGTACTGACCCAATGGTGCTGCCCGCAGGTGGCCAGGGGTCCAATCTGGCCACAGCCTCCAGGACCTGCTGGCCCACTTGCTGATGCTCTGGCGGGTTCCAGCTGAGACAGCTCTCACACATGCACGGCCACGTGTCTCGGGCCCACACCACAGTGAAGTTGCTGGGACACAGGGCACTGGTGCCTTCTATTTCACCAGTGAGTGCCGGGCTGTTTTCCAAAGATGCCGCTCCATTTGTCCTCCCACCAGCTCGAGGGAGAGCTGCTGCGATGTCCTTGCCAGCACACGCCGCTGTCCGCTCTTCAGTTCTTGCCAGCCTGGCAGTCTTGGGAAGGCATTCGTGGGGGGTGTATTTTGCATCTCCCTGATTGCAATAAGCAAACATCTTTTCCCATGTTCAGCAGCCATTTGGGTTTTCTCCGGGGCCACGTCAAAGGAGGGACACTCCAGGGGCTCCGGTGGGTGTCCACTGGGGTCTCTTTCTTGACCCCACTGTGGAGCCAGCCGTTATAATTAGCTGTAGAATAAGTGTGTTCCCACATCTTACATAGCCTCTATGTGTCCTGGGCCTGGCGCCACCACACTTTCCCTGCAGCTGCCCTATGCCCTTGGCCTTCCTGGCACTCTCGGGGGCTCCTGCCGCCGTCCGTGGGGTGTGATGCACCCTCACGGCCCCCTCCCCTCACCCAGCACCGCTTTCTGGTGCAAGTCAGGCGCAGGCACGTGCCCCGATGGAGATTTCAGAAACTTCCAAGCCACATAGGCACAGAAAGCAGAGTCAGTACGCAGGGAGGTTCTCAGCAGGGAGGTTCTCAACATGGAGCGTGGCGGGCTCAGTGCTGGGGATGGGGTTGGGCCGGGACCCCTGCCGAGTTACAGGAGTGTCGTGGAGGGCCTGCCAGATCGTTCCCATGCACGCTGCTAAGTTGGTGGCGTCGCAGTTCACCTGGAGGCCTTGGTGGCCGTCACGAGATGGAGTCCCCCAGCCTAGCTCTGAGCAGTGTGGGAGCTATTGGCCGGCCGGAGGATGCTGCTGTGGGGGGAGGCGTGTGCACCAAGACGGCCTATGGCTCCGAGTCAGGACCTGGGCTCATGGCTGGTGCTGTGTGTTCTGTGTACGTGGCACCGGCTGCTGCCTCCGTGTGTGGCGTGGGGCGGCCCTCAAGGCTCAGGCCCCTGGTGCGTGAAGGAGCTGTGGGAAGAGCCGCATCCTCGGGGCAGCCTCCCAGAGTGATGGGGAGGCGGCCTCCTGACAGACACCCTGGGATGTGTCCTGGGGGTTCTGAAGGCTTTGGGCAGAGCATGCCCTTCCCGCTCCGTTGCAGCTGTGGTGACCTCTGAAGTGTCACTGACTCCCTGGCTGCTCCTTTCTACAGCCTTCAATGGCACCAAATCCAGGCCACAGTGGGGGCGGGGGCAGTGCCAACCCCCGCATAGCCTCAGCGGTTTCTAGGTGGCCGGGCAGCGGGCCTCCTGAGGCCAATGCCGAACCTTCCTAGAGGATGGTGCTTCTGCAGCAGAAACTCCCAGTCCCTTGGGAGCTGCCCAGGCAGCGGTGGGGGATGCAAGGGCGTCAGGCCTGGGACTGCTGCTGCCCACATGCCCTGCTCCAGCCTCACCTGGCCAGCTGTTTAAAGAGGGCACCGCAGCATCCCACCAACGGCTGCAGGTGACGACACCGTCACCAGAGACACACGCAGATGCTCAGCGTCTGGCTCTTGCCTGTTGGAGGCTTGGCAGATCTTGGACCTCCCGGAAGGATGAGGGTTCCTCCAGGAGCCCCCTGCCATGCCGCCGCCGGGCCTGGCTTGTCCACTCCACCCCAACCAAGCCAGAGCTGAGCTACGGGGTCAGACACAGTCCAGGAGGGGCCTGGCCTCGGGCCAGTCAGGGCAGCCAGTGCTGCGGGGTGGGTGGTCCCTGAGCAGAAGAAGCGCCAGGGTATGCAGATGGCAGCCAGAGCCCCTCTGTGCCCTGGAGGGTAGCGGGGTCCTGGGTGAAGACCCTGGAGGGTAGCGGGGCCTTGGGTGAAGGCCCTGGAGGTTATCGGGGTCCTGGGTGAAGGCCCTGGAGGGTAGCGGGGTCCTGGGTGAAGGCCCTGGAGGGTAGCGGGGTCCTGGGTGAAGGCCCTGGAGGGTAGCGGGGTCCTGGGTGAAGGCCCGCAGAACCAGAGAGCAGGAAGCAGCTCTCAGTCTCACGGCTGGGGGAGGGGGAGGGTGGTCATCCTGAGCCTCAGCTCCGAGGCCTCCTCCCGCAGCTCCTGAGCGGCGCCTAATTGGGCTCCGCTGCCCTGAGCCCCGCCGGCCTCCCGGGCCCGGCAGGGAGGTAAGCAGACCCCCCCCACCGCCCCCTGGCCGCCCCCACACGGTCCCGCCAGGGTTTCCATCAGGAGCCATCGCGCGCCAACTTCCGCAGGGGCTCCCCACCCGCCGCCGTCCCGCGCGCACTCGGGGGTTCTGTTCCCTCCGGGAGGAAATCGAGATTGGCGGTGGGACCCCCTCGGCCAAGACCCAAAGGAGGGCCTGGGGCGGCCCCTCCCGGGTCCTCCTCCGGGCTCCCCGAGGATCCCCCGGCGGCAGACGGTTCCCCCCACCCCGGGTCCGGGGCTCACCTCGTCCTCGGGGAGGGTGGGCAGCGGCTCGAAGTCGTAGAAGTCCAGGTCTTTGCCGTCCTCCTCGTAGGGATCCGCCGCGGCCGGGTCCATGGCCTGCATCCTGCGGCCGCGCCGCGCACCGGCCCCCGGGCCAGCGAGCAGCCTCCTCCGCGCCCCGCGGCCCGGCTGGGCTGGGCTCGGCTACGCGCGCCCCGGTTCCATGGCGACGCGCCCGGCCCTCGCCCGCCCCCGCCCGCCCGCCGCTGCCGCAGTGTCGCCAGGGGACGGGCAGGAACTCGGGGTCGCGGGGGAGACACGGGGCTGCGCCGGGGGCGCGGGGGCTGCGCGGCGCTGTCCGGACCCGGCGCCTCGGGCACGTCGCCCCTTCCCGGGGGAGGCACCGGGGGCGGAGCCAGGCGTGTGGCCGCCGCGGGGAGCCCCGGGGTCTTCGCCCACCCTGGGCTCCGAGGGTCGAGGGGCGGGGCCGGTGCCCCGAGAGCACTGGCGGCCCGACCCCCTCGCCGGCTCCCACGGCCCCCGTCCCGCCCCCGCGGCCGCCGGGCTGGGCTGCCGCAGTCCCGGGGTGGCCTCTGCAGCGGCGTCCGGGCTGGGCGGGGCGCGGGGGGCGGGGCCGCCGGGGGGGTCTCTACTGAGCGAGGGTCTTTCGGAGGCGCGGGGGGCGGGAAGGAGGCAGCAACTGTGCCTCATCCCCACCTGGAGGCGCCAGAGACCCGCAGGGCCCCGCCCTCCCCTGGTCCAGCGGGGTCCTGGGGGTCCTGGGGCTCTTGGGCGACCTCTTCCTGCCCCACAGGCTCCGCCCGGGCTTTCTTCAGCGCCAGGGTGAGCCCTGGACCCCCAGTGGAGCCGCGATCAGGAGGAGTCAGGACACCTCGGAGCTCGGCAAAGGGGCAGGGAGGGTGGAGGCGAATCTCACCTTCCCTGGCCGCCCCCAGCCCTCCCACAGGAGAGGGGAGGTTTCAGGGCCGGGCTCTCAGCTCCCCCGTGTGGCCGGCCGGGCACACAGTAGGCGCTTAATAAATGCTCCTGGCTTGAAGGAGACTTTTGACTGCGGGGTTGGAGGGGGCAGTGTGCTCAGGGAGGTGAATTCCCAGCACTCAGTCCCGGGATGGGGTCACCTGGACCCTCACTCTGGCCTGGCAGGGGGTGCAGGGGGTGCAGGGGCTCAGCTCCCTGGGAGCCAGGTGGGCACTGAAGCCCGAGGCTGGGAGTGGGGCAGGTGCTGGGCAGACCCCCAGCGTCCAGCCAGGCAGCCCCACCTTGCTCACAATGCCACCCTAGGGCCCACCCTGGTCCACCAAGTCAGCTTTTGGGTGCAGCCTCCCCCATCCTTGGGTGTTTGGAAGCTCAAGGTGGGCTGGAGGCCCTGGAGCTGGAGAGGAGGGGTCTCACAGAGGGTGGGCTCAGCCCTTGGTCCTGAGCCCTCTCTGTGGGCCCCACAGGGCCTGCAGCACCCTGTCCCCGCCTCTGAAGGAGGCCAGTGTGGCAGGCAGCTCTGCTCTGGGAGCCCCATCCCACTGCACCCTGGTGCTCAGACCTGGACGTTGGAGCTGGGCCCCTGGGCTCCTGGGCCCTCGGAACTGCCGCCTCCTCTGCCAGGCCTGGATGTGCTCCTGATGCCTTGCCCCTGCAACCTGGCCTGTGCCTCTGGGGGAACACCGGGCTGATGTGACCCCAACGGGAAGGCACCGGGGACCCCACAAGTGCAGGACTTGGTCACTGAGTGCTTGGGTCACCGGGCGGGCTTGGGAGTGAGAACACAGACACTCAGCCGCAGGCGAAGATAACCAACTGGAGGGCAGCCAGGCTGCAGCGCTCCTGGAAAGAAGCCATCGGATTTAGCGAAACGCAGAACGCACAGGCTCTCAGAGTGGCCGCGTTAGCTCTGCCTGTTGGATCCTAGAACACTCAGCAGGCATTTCCCACGGCCAGGACACTCAGAGCTGCTCCTCCTGCCCAGGCCAGGGCATGTGGGCGCGTGGGGAGGGCCTGGGCAGGGGCCGCAGCTTCTTTCTTTTACCCACCTACTGCTTTGCTTTAAAGGTCTGTGGGCTTTGGTGTTTGTTGGGGACCGGCAGGAACTTCTGGACGTGGGAGTCGTCCCGGCGTCTGCGTCTCACCTGCAGTGATGAGCTTTGCCCCAGGTGGAGGGCGTGATGTCAGCCCTGTGTCCTGGCGCCTCAGTTATGTTGGACGAGGGTGCAGTTCTGAAGATCACGCCCTGCATCTTCCAGAGCTGGTGAGCAGTTTCTGGATGCCGCGTGGAAATGGCTCCAGAGCCCTCCGTGAGCCACAAGGAACGGCCTCCTCATCGTGTCCTCTGCCTCTCTGTGCCAGTCCCGTGTGCCCAGCACACACTGGCACAGCTTCTTCCAGAGGACCCTGCAATGATATTGGAAGTCAGAGGGGGTTCCGGGCTGCACGATCAGGTCCGTGGTCCAGGCCATGGCTTGGTGGCAGGATCAGGTCCGTGGTCCAGGCCATGGCTTAGTGGCAGGATCAGGTCTGTGGTCCAGGCCATGATGGGGGCACTCTCGTCCTCTTACTTCCAACTCCTCTCTGGCCGTCTACCCATTCTCTGCCCCCCTCAGCCCCCACCACCCATTCCTACCAGACATTTCCCTCTGCTGGATGCAGCTGCCTGAACTGTGGCTCCCGGCTGGAGCGAGGAACCTGGTTCCCCCTCCCCGCCCAGGCCGGACCTACCCCAGACGCTGTCAGAATCCGCCCTGTTCTGGGGCTGTCTCCAGTCAGGGCTGCGTGCAGAGGTGGCAGGAGCAGGGTCTTCAGGGCGTTGGCTCTCGTTTTCCCTAAAACAATTTTGAAAAGCTGCCGAACCACTCACATGTTGAAGTCAACATCTACATTTCTTTAAAAATCCAAAAATGTAAATAATTGCAAATAATGTCATTTCTGGTGTAATGTAAATACTCACATGTTGAAATAAAACTGTTAGTCACGCTTGTAAACGTATCCAGGAAGCTAAATGCCAACATGGTCTGATACTGGCTGCCAGTCGTGTGAAGAAGACGAAGCGCATTCTCCAGCGGGCCGAGATCTTCGGGCTGACATTTTTCCTTCGACGCATCGTGGCCACCTGGTTGCTGCCCAGATTGTATCTGATTATGAACTATTTTTATGCCTGAATTTCTGTTGGCTCCTCATCACACTTTGCGACAAATACACATGTAAATTTTAATAAATCAGTATTTAATAAAGAAAAATTTTTTAACTTTTTTTGCTTCCAGTGGCTATAGGCTCACTTTATCAAAGTCAGGGTTGACATAAGTGGCGGTGCTTGTGTTAGAGGCGGGAGCCGGCATGCAGGACCCGTGGACCACGTGGACCATGTGGACCACGACCGGCTTCTGCGGGAGCTGCCCAGTGGGCTCTGGCGGCAACACTTCCTCCTTGCTCCGTCTCTGCACCGGGCTGGCCCTGACCTGCCACACTCGCCCCTCAGGGGAGCCAGTGCCTCTGGGAGCAGATGGAGCCCCCATCCCTCAGCAGCCGCTACCACCGCCACCCCTGGGAGCCTTGCTGCTCCCTGCGCCTTCCAGCTCCCAGCACCGTCTCTCCATCAAGGTTTGGTGTCTGCTTTCTGGCAGGGTCCAGGCCACTGGACCAGCCAGGGAGCCACACCTCTCACCCACCCAACCTCTCACCCTCCCCACCTGACACGCTCCCCCACCTCTCACCCTCTCCCCACACCTCTCACCCTCCCCACCTGACACCCTCCCCCACCTCTCACCCTCTCCCCACACCTCTCACCCTCCCCCAATACCTCTCATGCTAACCCCAACCTCTCACCCTTCCCCTAACCTCTCGCCTTCCCCCACCTTTCCCCTCCTCCACCTCTCCCCTCCCCCCACCTCTCACCCTCCCTACCTCTCACCCTCCCCCACCTCTACCCTCCCCCCACCTCACCCTCCCTCACCTCTCACCCTCCCCCACCTCACCCTCCCCCACTTCACCCTCCCCCACCTCTCGCCCTCCCCCCACCTCTCACCCTCCCCCACCTCTACCCTCCCCCCACCTCTCGCCCTCCCCCCACCTCTTGCCCTCCCCCCACCTCTCACCCTCCCTTCCAGGCACACATGCCTGTACATGCTCTCTGATTCTGACACAAGCGTGGTGTAAGCACCCAGGTTAAGCAGAATGCTTGAGCTTTGAGGTCCATTCCCTCCTTTGGTTGCCTGGGTTGGCTCCCAGAGCATCCAGGTGAGGGGCAGCCTGGAGGCTCAGAACCTGGAGCTCCCTGCCCACAGGATGCAGCTGCCATTCACACCCAGCGCTGGTCCCACACCTGCTTTCCAGAGGATGCACAAACACGTCAGATGTGGGGAGCCAGCCAGGGGCACCTGATCTCACAGCCCCGAGGGCAGAAAATGGGGGACACCAAGAGGGGCGTTCAGAGCCCTTCCTTCATGTCGAAAATCCTAACACGCTTCCCAGAGAGGGGCAGAAACAGAGGACGCCCTGCTGTCACCACCGCAGTGAGCACCCATGGAACTGCCACCCACAGGGCCCCGGCCTCCAAGTGCCAACCCCAGCCCGCATGGCCGCAGCGTCCACGCTCTCAGAGATGATTTCCGTGCTTTTCTTCACAGCTTCACCTCTGCACGCGTTGTTAAACTCTGCAATTAGGTTCACCTGCTTTAGTTTTGACAATCTGTATACGGTAGAATCAAACAATGTGTATCTTTGTGTGTGTGTGTGTGTATTTTGTGTATTTGTGTGGTGTGTGTGTCTTTGTGTATATGTATTTGTGTGTACATTTGTGTATGTATATTTGTGTGTATGGGTGTGTATTTGTGTGTATATGTGCATTTGTGTATGTGTGTATTTGTATTTGTGTATATTTGTGTGTACATGTGTGTATTTGAGCATTTGTGTATTTGTGTATGTCTGTGTGTATGTGTGTGTATTGGTGTGTGTATTTCTATGTATTCATGTGTATTTGTGTTTGTATATTTGCGTGTATTTCTGTATGTGTACATTTGTGTATGGGTGTGTTTGTGTGTGTATTTGTGTGTGTATGTGTGTGTATTGGTGTGTGCATGTGTGTATGTCTATGTATGTATTTGTGTATGTGTATACGTGTGTATTTGTGTGTGTGTATTGGGTGTATTGGTGTGTGTGTATTTGTGTATGTGTATATGTGTGTATTTGTGTGTGTATTGGGTGTATTGGTGTGTGTGTATTTCTGTGTGTGTTTATTTGCGTGTAGATGTGTGTTTGTGTATTTGTGTGTGTATTGGTGTGTATGTGTATTGGTGTCTGTGTGTATTGGTGTGTGTATGTTTGTGTGTGTGTATATGTGTGTGTATTGGTGTGTGCATGTGTGTATTTCTATGTATGTATGTATTTGCGTGTGTGTATTGGGTGTATTGGTGTGTGTGTGTGTATTGGTGTGTGCATGTGTGTATTTCTATGTATGTATGTGTGTATGTGTGTATTTGCGTGTGTGTATTGGGTGTATTGGTGTGTGCATGTGTATTTCTATGTGTGTTTGTGTGTAGATGTGTGTGTATTTGTGTGTGTGTGTGTGTGTGTGTGTACATTTTTCCTCACGCACTGTCTCTGAGATTCAACCATGTTGACATGGCTGGTGGTAGTTTATTGATTATCGTTGCCGCACTGTATTAAATCACGCCACTATTCCACAGTTTACGTTCTCTTCCCACTGTTGGTGGGCACCCGGGTGGTTTCCAGATTTGAGGCCTCAGGAATGAAGCTACGGGGCCTCTTGTTCTGAGCCCGTGTTTCTGCTGGGCCTATCTTTGCAGTGGAGTTGCCAGATCCTATGTTACACGTGTGTGAAGCTCCCCATTTTCCCCGCACTGGGGATGGTCAGGGCGCGGGGGCTGGTGTCGGGAAGGTGCCCTTCAGCCTCCGCTTTGCCAGCTGGCTTCTGCTGGCTCAAGTGTGCTTGGGTGTGTCTGTTTCTAGGCTCTATCCTTTCCCATCCATCTTTCTGTCAATTCTGCACCAGCCCCACAGCCCACCCTTGCCTCTTCCGCCACCTCCTCCTTCTTCAGGAAGGTCCCGGCTGCTCCGGTCCTCGCATTTTCACACCCGTCTGGAACAGCGTGTCGTGTGCCCTGGAGTCTTGCTGGGGTCTGGCTGGGGTCGCACTGGCCCTGCACAGCTCCCAGCCTTCATGACTGGAGCCTCCTCACCCGAGGACACTCACCTTCTTCCACGCAGTCGGGTTATCCGCATGTGTCTCGTGATGTCTATTGCTTTCTGTGAGAAGGTTTTACGCGTATTAGCACGGAGAGCTGATGTTTTGTGGGGCTACTGTAGCTTCTATCTTTGCGAAACATTTATTTTCTGTTTAGTGCTGGCCTACAAAAATAAAGTTGGTTTTTGTGTAACAACCTTGTATCTGGCAACGTTGCTAAACCTGCTTAATTCTGATCTTGGCATATCACCAAGAACAACGCCAGGCTGACTTCATCACCGATCCTCACCAGACTCTTTCTCCCTCCTCCTTCCAGTCCCTGCCAGTGCCTCCTGACAACGCAGAACAGCCCGGGTAGTGGGCGTCCGCTCTGCTGAGTGCCCAGTGGGAGAGAAGGCCAGCTTCCTACTTTACCATTAAATGTAATCTTGCGACAGGATTCGTAACTACCTTTAGCAGATTAATTAAGTCTCCTTCTCCTTCTCCTGCTGATTTTCCATGTGTTCTATTAAGTCACAAACAGGTGCTGAATTTCACCAAATGTGTTTTCTGTGTCTACTGGGGTGATGATGTGACTTCCTCTCGTATTCTGATCATCTGTTAGATCACGCAGGTAAACGTTTGATGCAGAACTGATTTTTCATTCCATCCACCTGATTGTGGTACAGGATCTTTACTCACTACTGTTGGATTTGACTGACTAACATTTTGTGTGAGAACTTTTCGCTTCTTTTCATTGGCCGGTAATGTGTCTTTCTCATAATGTCCTTGTTAGCTGTAAGTATCAAGGTTCTGCTTCCTTCAAGGAACCATTGGGATGTTTCTTCTTTTTCTGTTCTCCAAAAGAGTTCTTCTTCTAGTAAAACTACTGTTATTTTTTCCTTAAATGCTTGGTGAAATTCTCTGGTGAGGTCCTTACCGGATCTAAAGACATTTGTTTTTAAATGAGAAGCCTTCAAATTATGAATTCAATTCTTTATTACTTATACAACTAGTAAAAGGCTTTCAGGCCAGGCACAGTGGCTCACACCTACAATCTCAGCATTTTGGGAGGTTGAGGCAGGAGGATCACTTGAGGCTAGGAGTTCAAGACTGGCCTGGCTAACATAGTGAGACCCCATCTTTAAAAAAAGCTTTCATATTTCCTACAAATTTCTCTTTTTATCTAACTTTTCTAAGTTATTGGCATCAACTTTGCATATATTATTGATCTGTTCTTTACCTTTTAATCTCTGTAGGGTCTGAAGTAATACCCCTAACCCCAGACCATTTGCTTGTACCTTCTTTCTTTTTTCTTGATTGGCTTTGCCAGGACTATATTGATTTTAGGAGCCCTTTTAAAGAAGATATATATAGTTTTGTTAATTTCTGTTCTTTTTTTTTGAGGCGGAGTCTTGCTCTGTCAGGCTGGGGTGCAATGGTGCAATCTCGGCTCACTGCAACCTCCACTTCCTGGGTTCAAGCGATTCTTCTGCGTCAGCCTCCTGAGTAGCTGGGATTACAGGCACGTGCCACCATGCCTGGCTACTTTTTGTATTTTTAGTAGAGACGGGGTTTCACCATGTTGGCCAGGATGGTCTCGATCTCTTGACCTCGTGATCCACCCGCCTCGGCCTCCCAATTTCTATTCTTATCTTTATGATTTCATCCCAATATTTTTGGTTAACTTGTTATTACTTTTCTAAATTCTTGAGATAAATGCACAACTCACTGATTTTCAGCCTTTTTCTTTTCTTCTTTCTTTTCTTTTCAGAGTCTCACTCATTCTGTTGCCCAGGCTGGTCTTGAACTCATGACCTCAGGTGATCCACCTGCCTCAGCCCCCAAAGTGCTGGCATTACAAGTGTGAGCCACCACGCCCAGCCTCAATCAGCCATTCGTTAAATGTTTTCTGTTTTCCACTTGCTCTGTGCTCCCTTTTCTTTCCGACTTATTTTGTATTTTGGTTATTACTGTATTATTTCATTTCTATTCCATATGAGTTGGATGTTTGTAGAACTGCTGAACTCCATGGCTTGTGCTTTTAATCAGTTTGGGAAAGTTTT